ACTGATTGATGGATGGTCTGATTGATGGATGGATGGATGGACTGAATGATGGATGGTCTGATTGATGGATGGATGGATGGACTGATTGATGGATGGATAGATAGATGGACGGAATGATTGATGGATGGATGGACTGATTGATGGATGGACTGAATGATGGATGGTCTGATTGATGGATGGATGGATGGACTGATTGATGGATGGATAGATAGATGGACGGAATGATTGATAGATGGATGGACTGATTGATGGATGGACTGATTGATGGATGGATAGATAGATGGACGGAATGATTGATGGATGGATGGACTGATTGATGGATGGACTGAATGATGGATGGACTGATTGATGGACGGACGGACTGATGGATGGATGGAGTGACTGGTTGATTGATTGATTGATGGATGGATGGATGGATGAATGGATGGATGAACTGATTGATTGATTGATGGATGGATTGATGGATAGACTGATTGATGGATGGATGGAGTGACTGGTTGATTAATTGATTGATGGATGGATGGATGGATGGATGGACGGACTGATGGATGGATGGATGGATGAACTGATTGATTGATGAATGGATGGATTGATTGGCTGGTTGATTGATTTATTGATGGATGTATCAATGGATGAATTTATAGATGGATGGATTGACTGGTTAATTGAATGTTTTGTATTTTGTTTAAAAAACAGGGGAAGAGCATTAGATTTATATTACATTATTTGCCTCTTTCCACGTTAGTGTTAACAATCATTCTCACACTCGAGCACAAGAAGAGACCATTATAGTGATTAATGCTCCTCTCAGTGAATCTAGCGTCCCCCTCTTATTTCAAATCAGCTTTTTTTTGCACCTACACATTTGACTTGGTGCTTACAGAATTAGGATTAGATAATACTTTATAATAATGCAGCAGATTAAGGTTTCCACTGTTAGAGTGTTGGAGCCCTGAAAAGTGTGGGGCTCAAATATAATTTTTCAAGTTATTTTTATTTTTAAAACATTTGATGATAATGATTATTAGATTATAAACACTTCAGTGCCCTCCGAAGACATCATTTTAGGTAGTTTGGCACGTAAGGACTTCTCCCAGTAAGTCTCTCAGACATCTGAGTTTGTTACAGGCACAGTATTGTTTCCTTTGTTCAGTTTTGTGATACACTCAGGTTGTGCAGGGGACGAGAGCTGTTCAACTGTTATTACGATCATAATTTTTATGGAGCAGATTTGCCGGTAATTTATTCTGTATTAGAGTGGCATTTCCAGAGGGCGCCGGTGAATGGGGTTGATGAGGGTCACAGGCCGGGCTAATGGGAATGCAGACATGATGTGGCCCCAGTTTGACACATTCAGTGATGGAAAGGTCTGTAATATCAGTGCCACTAATCCATTCCCTTTTAAAGTTAATTAAAGACAAACATTTTAATGGCTTCTGGCATTGTTGAGGTAGCCTCCCATATGAGAGCATAGTTTTTCAACTTAAACGTGTCAAAGGAATCAACATATGCTTGACCTGTTCACATAAGAGTTCAGTAGAACTTCTTCCATACAAACTTCCAGATGGTAAAATTGCTGCATAGCTACTATTGTAGAGGAAGCATTCGTGCAATCAAGGTGCTGTTCAAAGCACTTTTCAGGAGCAGATGTTTCCTTGATTACATTCAACATGTGTTTTGATGCAGCATGCCATTTACTAGAAACAACATATAAAGCTGCAAGAAGAAATATGAGGGCAAGGCAAGCCCTGAAAACACAGCTGAAACTAAACGCTGAAATGGCTCATATAAGCTCAGTTCAGCATGCTAAGAAGCTCATCCTAATAACATTTTGTATATATATGAAAAGGTCTCATTTTATTTTTCCTTGAAAAAAGTAAGTAGTTTTATAAATAATATAATTTCCACCAAGTCATTTCTGATCCACAGATGCATTTAAGGGGGTTTAAGTCACACACACATTATTCACTTCATGGCATCGATGGTTCCATGAAGAACCTTTAACATCCATGGAGACTTTTCACTGCAAAAAGGTTCTTTACAGTAAAAAAAAGAATCTTCCGATTATTAAAAAGATCTTCACACTCAAGAATAAAAACAAAAAGGTTCTTTCGACAAATGAAAGATTCATGAAAGGTTCTTTGAGGAAACAAGAATGATTCTTTAATGACGTCACTGCTGAGACAAATAAAAACGCCTCTTGAAACGGGAGAAAAAGAGTCTTGTATCATTTACATTTCTAGAAGAGGAGAGTGGAGGTGAATCTGGTCAGATTACCTCCTGTTTGACTGTGAATGCAAAAAAGAAACAAAAAAAGCATCCTAGTGTCAAGTATCCTCGGTCTTGAACATCATTGTGCACATGAAGAGGTAAAATGAAAAGGTAAAACTGTACATGAAGAGGTTTTGAGAGTCTAATTAAAACCTCATTATGATAGGAGTTTAAAATGAGAGCAATATCTCAAAATGAACTACATAATCTCACCTAGACTTGAGCAAATGGAACAAAAATAACTCTTTCACATTCTATCTCTCCTCATATTACTACTTAATTCGGTAACACTTTATAATACGGTAACTACACGCTAATAATCATTAGTTAAGCATGAGTAAACAGTTAATTCATCATTCATAAAGCATTAATAGACATTAATAAGCAGTTTATAAATAAAGCTATAAATGCTTTCTTCTTGATTTACAAGCATATCTATAATTTATTTAATAATTGTATTTTCATCCTTTATTAATGATCAATTTATTATTTCTAAATGATTAATTGCATTTTTTATAAACCAGTTATTTAAGAGTTTTCAGTGGTTCACAAGATTACTTAGAACGTGTAAGTAAATGATTAATAAACTATTTAAATGTACATTCATACATCTTATTATTCAGACATATGGTTACTTAGTGTGTTAATAAATGCTTTATTAACATGTATTTAAGCTGTAATTCAGGGTTAATTCGGGTAGTTATAAAGCATTTAGTAGTGGTCAGTTAACTATGTTTGTGAGCTCATCTAAAGTGAGGACTATTCATGCCTTGTAAAGCTTTTATAAAGGAGATTTAAAGGCTGTTAAATATTTCTATGTTCTGTATCACTGTGTTGTGTTTGTTACATTTTACTTTTTAGAAGATTGATGCGCATTCAAATCTCCTTTATAAATGCTTTACAAGGCATGAATAGTCCTTACTTTAGATTAGCTCACAAAATAGTTAACTGACCACTACTAAATGCTTTATAACTACCTGTATTTACTACATTTACTTACACTTTCTAAGTGATCTTATGAATAACTGACAACTCTTAAATAACTGGTTTATAAATAATGCTATACTTCATTTAGAAATTATTAATTGATCATTAACAAAGTATGAAAATACAATTATTAAACGCATTATAGATATGCTTATAAATCAAGAAAAAAAGTGTTTATAGCTGTATTTATAAACTGCTTATTAATGTCTATTAATGCTTTATAAATGATGAATTAACTGTTTACTCATGCTTAACACATGATTAATAGCATGCAGTTATTATAAAGTGTTACCCTTAATTCAAATCTGAAAGGTTACCTTATCTTTACTGTATGCTTTGATATCACTACTGTTGGTAGAATGTATTTAAAATATTCACATAATATCACTAAAGTGGTTCAATTCTAGTGAATTCTAATGTAATTTGACATAATTTATCTGTTTTTCCAAGGTTTAATACGCCATTATGAACAGTAATTTACTGTAAAGTCAATTCTATATTTTTACGTTTTTTTGCATGTAATTTTGTGAAATGGTTATTTGCTGTAATTTAACGGAATACGTCTGTAAACTTTGCTGCCAGAGATTTACCGTTTTTTTTTTTACAGGATTTGTTTTTACAGTGTTATATACTGTTGGTAGAATGTATATAACATATTCACATAATATCACTAAAGTGGTTTAATTCTAGTGAAACTTTTTTTTGCGAAAATAATCCAGTTAAAGTTTGAAAATAACTTTTTTTTTCAGTTTTGTTTTGTTCTGTATTTTAACACAGACTGCATGAAAAAAAGCTTCTGTGTGCCGTATCCCGATGCCTTTCATGGACTGTACCTTAAAATCAAATGAAAACCATCTGTAATTGAAGCAGCGTGTAACTGTCTCTCCTCTTCTGTTTCACTCTGTCGCTGTTCAGATGTAATCTACATTTCTACCTTAAGGACAGCATTGATTTGCCGGTCAAATTTAAGCTCAGAGTCAAAAATGACACCAAGGTTCCTCACGCTAGACAGTTTTTTTCCCAGAAAACAACCCCAGGCAGTCATCATCCACACATCACGCACACCAATTCCCATTGGCCTGTTCAATAGTACTCGAAGATGATTGGCTCCCTGGTGCGATCCCCATTCAGTCGACTACGTCCTCCGTTCCCTCCTTCAGGGACGTTTTCTGTTGTGTTTATCTGACTCGTACAGCACTTTGGTCAGTCCTCAGACTGTTTTTAAATGTGCTTTATAAATAAAAGAACTTTTATCAGTAAGAGCAGCTGTCATTTCAGTCAGTCTTGCACTGCCCAATGTTGAAATACTAACTGGTGATTAGTTACATGGCTGGCAGAATAGTTTAGTTCTTTTGTAAATTTCACAATAATAAATGTCTGTGTGACACACCAAAATAAATGCCTTAAAATCCAACAGTTCGACTTGATTCAAATTGACATCTATTGCATTTTTTCATGAAGATTTTTCAATGGAGGAATTATACTAATCAGTTTTAATAATAACAATTATTACTTATTTCACAGGGCCATAAAAAACTACATTGACACATTATGTGTTTATTACAGGAGTTTATTGATGGTTCATTTCATGAATCAAAACAAAAAAGAAGAAAATGACTGATGAGATTACACAAAATATCGATATTATTTTAGGATTTACTAAGTTACACAGTTAACAGAGGAAAGGAAACCCTTGAACCTTAATTTTTTCTTTCTTTCTGAGAAATATTTCTTTCGAAGGTCTAAGACACACGTTTGATCTTCATGCTGATGGATTTCATACCGACATGGTAATTATTCTTCCAAGTGTACCAATAATTTCCAACGGTGTTATCTTTGGCAACTTGCCCCCATAAATACAAACCGTTGGGGTTTGCATTGTAACAGGCTGCGTACCAAAATCCCCCGAGACACAGTTTGGCACAGTTCTTCTCGTGAGTGTCTTGGTCTTTGTCAAAGGTGGAGAACTTCTGTTTATTATGGTAGGGCAAAGAGTTGCCTGTAGAGAAGAGGACATTAACATCATATTTAGATGAAGAAAATTTCATTGAAATTACAAAACATTTGATAGCGCATGAACAAGTGCACTCGAGTGTTAAAGTATGAAAGTGTCCTACCAGCTCCTCCATCCTTGAATCCTGAAACATGCAGTTTATACCCGTCATATTCTGGACCCACAGAGAAGGATGAGTACAGAGCAAAACCCTTCCTTCCAGTGAAGTCCTCCAGATCCACTCTCAGCATGTACTTTCTGTTACGTGTCAGCTGGTACATGTTCTCCAGCCCTGTTCACACACACGAAGAACGTGTTCAACCAAACACATGATCATCCACACAAACGGACACACGGTGTGAGATCTTACCCAGCCAGTATTCGCCCTCGGTTGCCCCGAATCCTCTCTTGTACTCTTTCCACGGCCGGTAGAAATTAATACTGCCATCCATTCTCCTCTGAATCACCTGTGATGGGTTTATACAGAATATATGATTCATAACGTATGTCCTGATGTGTGTTTGCTGATCTAAAGTCACATTCGTACCGTCCATCCTCCGTTGTCTTCATCTTTCCCATCTGAGATCATGTGACAGTAAACCCAGACAGGAACGTCTCCTGCTGGATAGATGGAGTAAATCCCACTGAGCTTTTGTCCTGCTTTATAGACATCAGAACAGTCGACCGGCTTGAATCCATCAGCAACACAAACAACAGACGCCGTGAAAACAGAGAGCAGAGCCGCGACAAACACCGTCATCTGGAGAGACACGACTGATCAAGATCCTCATTTACAATAAAAGTAAAAACAGTCGCTGTAAATGTGAATGAACTTACCGCCATCGTCTCGGTATCTTCTCAGATGATCACTGCAGATTATAATCAATGTTTTTTTTTTAGATCTGGAAGAAATCAAACCAAAAAATCATCATATTGTTGTTTGTGGAGTTACACTGTTGTAGAAAAGTCTTAATATTCTGTGAGGTAAAAGATGAAGAATGAAACAGTAACTCACCGTTTGTGTTGTGCCTTGTGTTGTTCAGTCACTCTTTATATCTGTTAGATTCTTACGCCCTACCTTTGTGTTACAGAAGAAATGTATATTGCAAAACCCTTCTTGGCACGTAGCTTGTGTTAATTTAATTTATTAAATTGCTTTTTGCTTTTATTTTGACAGGATAACGATAAATCGTTGAGTCACTCGCATCTTCAACTGACTTTTTATCAGTAAGAGCATCTGTCATTACAGTCACTCTTGCACTGCACAATGTTGAAATACTAAATGTTGATAAGTTACATGGTAAGCAGGCTTGAAATGCAGAGTCATACAGTTTCCAAAAACTGTGCAAAAATGTCCATCCTTAACCCTTTCACGCAGAGTGGTCAGTACAGTGGGCAGCTGTTCAAAAAGCATTTTCTTGCATTTGCATGGGTTTTGATGGCATAGTTGCGCATGCAGTGGACCCTGGTGCATCATCCTATACACTGCCTCCAAGTGCCAAGCCAATGTGTGTCGATTCTTTTTCCCTCCAAACCAAGATGGCCGACAGCCACTCAGAAATCCCAAGGAGCTCAGGAATATCCACCCATTCCTTCTATCCTACGAGACTCTTGCAAGTAAAAAAAATGTTGTATATAGTGGACCTCATGCATCACTAGCTGTATTTCAGCTACAATTCATACTATTACTGTGACTGTTGTTCTTGAAAATACTTAACTTTTTTTTTTACTGTAAATAAATTTATTTGTGTAATTAGAATATAATTTGCAGTTAAATCAAAAAAGTAATGTGATTACATAATGTGTGTGTTACGGTAAGTAGACACAGGAGAGGAAGATGGATGGTGAACAGTGATTTAAAAATAAATAATAATAATTTGCTACATTTATATAGCGCTTTTCTGGTTACTCAAAGCACTTTACATAGAAGGGGAATCTCCTCAACAACCACCAAAGTGCAGCTCCACCTGGATGAAGTGACGGCAGCCATATTGCGCCAGAACGCCCACCACACACACCACACACACACACACCCAAAATTGTCCAAAATTGTCATGCCCTTCACTTGCTAACTCCCCTCCGTCTTGTTCACTCGGATGTACGTCATTGCTTACGTTGCACAAGTGCCCACTACTGGCGGAAACTGAATTGGCTGAATTGGAACGTCCTAAGCCCTTGCTCACTTGGAATCAGCCATGGAGTTGATTAATTATTTACTTTTTTTTTTCCTTTAAGAATTTGTTTAATGCAGCATCCAAATGTATAGGTGTGTTTGGGTTGTTTAAAATTAAATATATATATATATATATATATAATTAATATATCAGAGTTGTTTGTGGTGGTGGTGATTAGACGAGATCTGCGGTGACGTCACAATCGTGTTGCATTGTGGTATATGGAGCTGCCTGAAGTGTACATATGAAGTAGACTCGCTCCCTCGGACAAAATTGAGGGAACAAGTGTCTGTCCATATAAACTTCCCTTCTCCACTTCACGAAGTGGAACGCACTTCAAAATGGCGGCAGGGATTCCCCCTAGGGGAAGTGCTTAGGGAAGTTCGCAAGTGCGTGTCTAAAAGTGGACTGGAACGCAGACAGGGTGATGAAGCCAATCAGTATACGAGGATGATTAGGAGGCCATGATGGACAGAGGCCAAGGGCCAAATTTAGCCAGGATACCGGGGTTACACCCCTACTCTTGGGATTTTTAATGACCACAGAGAGTCAGGACCTCTGTTTAACGTCTCATCCGAAGGACGGTGCTCTTTGATAGTATAGTGTCCCCGTCACTATACTGGGGCGTTAGGACCCACACAGACCACAGGGTGAGCGCCCCCTGCTGGCCTCACTAACACCTCTTCCAGCAGCAACCTGGGTTTCTCAGAAGGTCTCCCATACAGGTACTAACCAGACTCTGCTTAGCTTCAGTGGCCAACCAGTCTTGGGCTACAGGGTGATATGGCTGCTGGCTATATTTACTGAAATACAAAGGTTCGGGGATGAGGTGAGCAGGGTAGAGGAGTCCAAAAGAAAAGATCTTGGCGGAGACACAGAGTAAAGGAATACGCTGGATATAGGGAGATCACTGGAGAGTGGACACGGGGAATACTCCACTTAAAGCAGCACTAAGTAGGAATTCCGTTTTTGTCAAACAGCGACCCCTAGAGTCGCTGTGGAGCACTTGTACTGTCGTGAATAGCACTCACGCAGAGATGGCTCGCACTCACGGCCGGATCCCCTCCCCCTGTACACCGGTACCTGTTCAGTAGGATGGACGCTGTAACGAGTGGAAAAAAGGTATGGCCCCTTTAAGAGCTGCGCGCGCCCTGTTTAACTGTCGGCAGTCTGTATTGTATGTGCGCCTCGAACACCACATGTATACGGCGCCGGGTTATTTCTGTTTGATGCTCATTTTATCAGAATTTTACAACCCGATCTCACGACCAATTCGTCCGAATTTGACGAGTGATTAAAAGATGGCTAATTCGTAACAATTCGTACGACCTCACTCGTACGAATTAGTACGATTTTTGCTAAAACGTACATATTTGACGAGTTGCCCAATTCGTATGAATTCGTACGAATGACCTACCCCTGACCCCGCCCCTAAACCTACCCATCACGTGGGTTTAGACAAATCGTACAAATTCATACGAATGAGGTCGTACGAATTGTTACGAATTAGCCATCTTTTAATCACTTGTCAAATTCGGACGAATTGGTCGTGAGATAGCGTTGGAATTTTATCAGATCTGTTTTTTGCCGTAAAGCAATTCGTTACCTCACGAGACCTGATATCATACGATACTTCCTAACACTGAGGCCGGCGGCCCAAAGCTGCAAGGGTGGTTTTGCGGCTCAAAGGCACCAGGGGGGTGCGAGACGTCCACCATTCAACACGAAATCAGTAATATAAACATTACAATGACTCGAAAGCTGTTCGGTTAAGGTAAAAAAGTTACTTAGTTCACCTTTAACATCAACGAGGTCGGACAAGGAGCTGGGGTGAGGTGAGTGCACATATAGTGGTAGTGATGAGGGTGATGATGACGTGCAGGTGGGGAGCAGGAGGGATGCTGGGAAGTGTAGCGCAGAGGATGGTGACTAGGTGGAAATGTGACAGTATGTGACTAGTGATGCATTACTTTACTCATTACATCAAAAAAGTAATCTGATTACGAAATGCACATTACTTTTAATGCATTACTTTACCTGTTAGATCAATAATCTGATTACGTAATGCACATTACTTTTAATGCATTACTTTACTCATTACATCAAAAAAGTAATCTGATTACGTAATGCACATTACTTTTAATGCATTACTTTACTCATTACATCAAAAAAGTAATCTGATTACATAAAGCACGTTACTTGTAATACTCGTAACATCAAAAAGTATTGTGATTACGTCATGCATATTACTTTTTAATGAGTTACTTTACTTGTTACATTAAAAAGTAATCTGATTACATAATGCATGTTACTTGTGATACATTACTCGTAACATTAAAAAAATGAATTACGTAATGCAAGTAACTTGTAACACATTACTTTACTTGTAGTTACTTGTAATGCGTTACCCTGAACACTGCTCATTTCAGATGAGATTGAAAACATCTGATCGGTAGGTTTTCTCAGAGGAGAACTATGTTAGAAATGTGTCCATCTTGAACATAATCATAATTATCAGCTAATAAGGGTAAATTGACATACTCTGCTACACTAGAGGGAGTTGGGTTTCCACAGTTGTACCTTGACAGGGTGTAGAGATCTCAGCCCGTTCTCATCCTTTGGCGTCATACATGTGACGCTTAGTACATTTGGTTGAAATCTTACGCACATGGCATCCTTTCTTGTGTCAGTACGAAGCACAGCTCACATATAAGATTCTGTTGTTGAACGCGGCTAATTTGCGTGACCAACTTGAACAAAAGCAAAATCTGAAATTTTCGACCTCGAAATCGCGCGGATTCTTATCGAAATGACTGGATTTTGCCCGCGAAATTTCCGCGAGAAACTGTGCGAATAACTGCTCAGGTTGTATAATGTGTTGAGAGAAATATATTTCAGGCTCTGGTAAAATAGGTCTAAATACAATATATTTTTAAAATAATTAAATGTTTAGTTTTGGTCAGAGCCATAGAGAGAAAGAGTTGCGACACTCCCATAGACCGCCATAGGAACTTTGGAGTGTGGAAGTAACGCGTGTCGTGGAGCGGCCAATAGTTCCAAACACTGATAGTTCCAGCATTGAACCCCATTCATTTTCAGTGCTTCCGAAGTACGCTCGCAGGTATATTAATGAAATTACTGTATTTTTTTTACTTTTACACACATTAGCCGACCTCTCGTGAATCTAGTCTGTAGTTATATTTTATGTAGCCAGTTTTAGTAAATGTTTATTGGAAGATAATAGGTTAATTCCAGCGATAGCTTACGTGACCAACACTTCACTAACGTTAGCTAACTTACGGTAACTGATGTATATAATAAATAATATTTTTTTAATAATATTAATAAATAATATTTGATAATATTATATATACATACACACACAATTCATTTATTTAAATGGGTTAGGGTTATGCATATATGTGCTTATATGTATTTAGGAACATAGTTAATTCACTCATTAACTATCTCTCCGGTTTAATTTTATGAAGAATATTTTTCGGTAGAATATTTATCGAACATTGCTGTATATAGTCGTTGCTTTCTATGTTATGGAAGCAGTCTATTTCCCTCCTAAATCATTCATTTGTACATGCACAGC